AGGACTTTTGTTTACAATGTTGATACCGTGTGTTGACAGTAACTAAATGTAACAACTATGGTGGAACAAACAACTGGACAAACGTTTACCTGTTGATACCGTGTGTTGACAGTAACTAAATGTAACAACTATGGTGGAACAAATGACTGGACAAACGTTTACCTGTTGATACCGTGTGTTGACAGTAACTAAATGTAACAACTATGGTGGAACAAACGACTGGACAAACGTTGACCTCTTGATATCCTGTGTTGACATTAACTAAATGTACAAACTATGGTGGAACAGTATATCAAATTAATTACAGTATTTACTGTGTTAGTTCTGGTTTATGTATGTAGCTTACTTTGATGAGAAGTAATGGATAATTTTACGTACCCATCATGATTTATGTCCAAAGCAGTGAGAGAGTATCCAAATGATGAAGCAATCTGTTTTCCCGAATACATCAGCTCTACTGTAAGATCAGTGATACCCTTTTTTTCCTTACGAAAAAAGACCACTTGACCCGTGCCCTGTGAACGAGGTGCCCCTGCCACGAAACTTTTCTGATTTCCAAAGAATTTTCCTGAAGTCACAGCCATGCCTGAAATAAAAATACTCTTACTTCAAATCTTTTGTTTAACTAATTCTGATATTCATTACATTTTGTTAGTAGATTTAATTTTTTGTTACATTAAATGAAGTGGTAAGTCTCTATACAAAATACAGGGAGAATTGTAACAATTAACAAAAAAAAACAAAGAATATAACTATTTTCAAAAGCTTTAATTACTGTAATTACTATCACCTTTAGTGGAGATTTTGTTATTGTTTGTTGTATGAAGGTATTAGCAATTATGTGCTAACCAGAAAATCTATTTTTAAAAGCCTTAAGTATTGCCATGCCTGGGATAAATTTTGATATTGTTTGTTTTATGAAGTATTATTAATAAAAACAATGCCACAAATGCATGTGATTTAATTAAGTTTAGACAAAAAACGGTTTGTTTGAGATTATGAAAAACACAGATCAACCAGTTTCTTAATTAAAAAAGATTAAGAAATTTCAGTTTTTTTTCACTTAATATCCATTTTAATGTTATGTATCTAACAAAAAAACAGAGGATTAAAAAAACAACAACACAAACGTAAGGTAGGAAAATACAATTACAAAATATCGATAGAATTTCTTGTAGGAACTAGATAAGTCTATTGATGAGCAGAACCCTAATTAAATGCTAGGAACTAGGTAAGCCTATTGATGAGCAGAACCCTAATTAAATGCTAGGAACTAGGTAAGCCTAATGAAACACCTTGGATCCTAAATGCTAAGAACTAGTAGGTAAGTGTAATGAAGAGTTCAGAACCATAAATGCTAGGAACTAGTTAAAACTAATAAAGAGCTCAGAACCATAAATGCTAATAACTAGGTAAGCCCAATGAAGAGTTCAGAATCTTAAATGCTAGGAACTAGGTAAGCCTAACGAATAGCTCAGAATCATAAATACTAACAAAGCACAACTGTTTTGATTTAACCAGATTTTTCAAATTCCTGGTTGCTTCCCATTTTGCAACCTATTGAGCATTAAATGACTGCTTATAAATATGTGTAACACACTATTAAAAATTAAAAGTAAATCAGATGAAAAATGTTTTGAAGATATATTTGTAACTTTATATTTGTTTAAAAAATTCTTATTTTCAAAAGCATGACTTATCAATTAATAACAAAGTCTTAGCACCTACCTAGGTAACTATACTTATCTACTGGAGACTCATCCAATGGTCCAATGTACCATTTTCTATCATCTCGTATTCCTTCCCCAAGGTTGTTAACAAAAACAGTTCCTCGCCAGGTGTATGGACCTGGTGATCCGAGAACTATATTGTTATCCTTTAATGTAAGAATTAAAAAGGTCAGTCAATATTAGTCAAGCGGAGCATAGAAGCTAAATTTACTTTTCCAGTCAACATTTTTAACAGGTTAGTTCTACTATTCCATAATTTTAATTTTACTGTTGCTTTTTTATTTATTTAGGGGGTAAACGTTTGTCCAGTCGTTTGTTCCACCATAGTTGTTACATTTAGTTAATGTCAACACAGGATATCAACAGGTGAACGTTTGTCCAGTCGTTTGTTCCACCATAGTTGTTACATTTAGTTAATGTCAACACAGGATATCAACAGGTAAACGTTTGTTCATTCGTTTGTTCCACCATAGTTTGTACATTTAGTTAATGTCAACACAGGATATCAACAGGTAAACTTTTGTCCAGTCG